AGAAAGCTATCCCAAACTAAACCTTAGTTTTAAAACAACTTTTTTGTTCAAAAGATCATTCTTATTCTTTTGTTTAGAATTTAAGCTACTCAACAAGTATATAATAACAGGCTGCTGAGAAATTATTACTAATGATGGATTAGAGGCCTAATCAAATCACAATCCCATCATAACCTCCTAAAGAAATTAAGAAAAAAGCTTGATTAGAGTCACCCCACAGGCCTCAAGCCCACAGCAAACTCATGTTGGTTGGCAATCTACATCCCCAGCTATATGGTTTTGTGGATCAAAACAGATAATTCTATTAAAAAATAATAAATAAATGGTAACTAATAATATATAGAAAAATATTTAATTTAAAATATAAGATAATATATTATTAGCACAAACAATGAGCTTGATTATTATTATTATATTATATAATAAAAATAAATATCGTGTATTTATGATCAAATATCTTTTTATTTTATTCATTTATGTTATGAATTTAATTTGAAATATAACAAGTGCTCCCACCATCACCAATTACACCGACCAAAAAAAAAAAAAAAGCAATGATAGGTGTTGAATTTTTTGCGATGACGAACATTGACCTTTTTTGTAATGACGGGCATCAACCTTATTAGCTATGATGGATGCATGTCTTCCTGATAATTGTGAGTGCCAATATTATTGGTGATACTAGGCAGAAGCATTGTTGGCAACATCGAGCATTGTGCTTGTTATTGATGGCGAACAATGGGGTTGCAAGTAGTAATAAGGATCTAATTGACTAGTAGAGTTTCCAAATCTATTCTCCTAAAACCTTCTTGAAGTTTCTAATAATGATTCTAAGCGCTTGAATTGAATCTATACTTTGGACTAGACTCAAGGCACTCTCAACATCCTGGTTTCTTCTCATTGATGCCATCGCTTCAACTATAAATTTGTTTGAAATAAAATTAGTGTTATTCCGAAGTAAATTATATAAATTTTTTAAGAGGCACATCTCATGCATGTAAAGTTTTGTATACCAATTACTTTTTATCCTTTTGAGTTTAAAATTGGCCTTTGAGAAGCTTCTCAATCAAAGTAAGGCTTAAACCACCACTAAAAACTATTAGTGAAGAGGACCATTCTCCCACAATTAATGCTCTCAATTGCTTGCATTAAGTTCTTCATAATTGCATCACTTTAATCAAGTTCATAGCATCATTCTCATTAAAAAAAAAAAAAATTATGTGACTTTGCTTTGATGCTAATCATCATTATTTTACTAAATTCATTCAACATGGGATCATCATTGGCTAGTTGTCCTTACTAGAGAGTAAGCACTTGGCCTTCTACATTATAAAAAAGTAATTCTATCTTGTGAATATTATATATCTCTAAGGAGAATTTTGCTTTGACATGCATCATCAAGTGGCCATGATATGATGCTCCTTCCTCATAATCATTTCTTTCTTTTGACATAAGCCTAAACTTACTTATTAGACAAGTAAGTTGATTAGAATAAGGGCCTATTTAGGCCGGCTGCAACGCTTTTTAATATTGCTACTGAATTTGTTTTGGCAAAGTAGCTTTTTGAAAAACTGTTGTGGATTTTATAAATATCTTATATTTTCAACAATTGAACAATTGCTTTCTTAGACCTACCATACATTAGCAACATTAATTATAAGAATCAGCTTCACACCGAGAAGATTTTAAATAACAACAAGAAAATAACAAGAAATTAAAGCAACGTGCAAATAATATTAATGTAGTTGCTACATTGAAAACAAAGCTGTGATAAATTTGTCCTAAATAGACCCTAGGTCTCATTAATGGTATATTGTCTCCTTTTAAATAAACTCGGAAAGATTAATTATCAAAAGAATTTAGTCCAAATATTTAAATTCAATTTGTTAAAGCATATACTATGTGAAAATGAATTAATGTTTTTTTATGTGATTTATTATATATTAGAAGAGTGTAATGTATGAGAAGATGATGGTCTACTAATATTATTTTCTTACCATTTCTTAGATAGAGATAATATTAAAAATGTTGATTTGATATTCCAAGAATAAATTTTATAATAAGCCAACCTCTGAGCATTATTGTATGAATCATTTAATTTTAGTGATCTATACTTTTATAACTATGAAATCTACATTTTTTTCTCTTGAAAAATGGTTAGGTTAGGCACAAGCCTTTCACTTCTGAATAGGGCAACCTTTAAATATTGTTGAAAATCATTAGGCTTATGATGACTCTCTCTAAATATAATTTGATTCAATTTTAATTATATATATGTAATTAAAATTATCAAATGAGTTTAAACAAAATAACCAAATTAAATTTGTAGCAACCATTATATTAATAGACAAAAATGCTTGAAAAAATAGAAATATATATATATATTATGTGTTATGTTATATTAAAAATATAAGATGCATAAGAAGATAATGAATCATGAACATTTTTTAACAATATCTAAGATAAAGATAATATTAAATATATTCTAATTTAATAGTATTAAAAACAATATTTATATAGGCCAATCCATGAGCATTATTATAGATATATTATTATTTTGATGAGCAATATTTCAAGCAACTAAGAAAGAACCCCTTTTCTAACATAAAATACCATGTTATAATTTGAAGTGTCAAAGGGAGGAAGTAGCTAATGGAAAAAAGAAATATAATTTTTTTTTCTCACACTATTTGAAAAGATCATATTACATTGGATTGGATGAACTTTAATAGGCAAAAATAGTCTTCAAAAGATAAAATAATGAGCTATGAGTAAAGAGTAGAGATAAAGTTGCTTTTGTATTAGACTTCGTTTGATACTACTTTTTATTGTTTTTTAAAACGGAGTTTTAGAAATATTAAAATTCTATTTTAATAAGCAATAAAAAAGCAGTCCCAAATAAAGCCTTAGTTGGATCTATCCATTTACTTATAATAGTTCATGTTGTATTTATAGTAGCACTTTTCATTGCACAATGAGAGACTAACCAAGAGATCATCTTAAGTTTGAAGCTTGCGTTTGTAATGTTTGTGAGTTTGTCACCAAGCTAAAGATTTCAAAGAGAATTCTGATGAAAAACTGAGAAGCTGAAGGCCTACACTTCACAACTTATTAAATAGGTGGTGAAAAAAATTTTGTTTCTTGGGGCAATATTTTGAGATGGTTTGGAGCTCTATTTTACAGTAAATTGGATGATATTTTGATGGCTTTTTAAATAGTTCAGGTACAGCTATCTGTCATTATGTCTGTCTTTCTTATTAGCACTGAAGTATTTATCCAACAAATATGCCGGCCATTGCTCACCATGATCAAATGCTTAGATGAATGTCTGTTCAATGACAAATTATTAGGTGCGGACACCAGATGGAGAGAACCGTCCTGTTTTCTCTCTATCTACAATAAAAGCACAATCAAAGCGCAGTTGCTATAGTGATTGTTCTTTGACTGCATTTTTACTTTAGATAGAGAGAAAATAGGACTCTCCTTCCGGTGTCCGCACCTAATAATTTATCTTCTTCGACACCTCTACTTTGTAAATCAAATTATTTCATAATTAATGATTTTATTCACATATATCTTATGGATTTCTGATGAGATTTGAACAGGATTGTGGTTGGTCCCATCAAAAACAAAGTTTGTCCTGTAACTTGGTCGATATGGCTGTCCAACTTTTAGCCACCCTTGCCCTGTAGCCCATCAAAAGCCCCCGTGAACTCCAGCCGAAAGCAGAGTAATGAGAAGGAAAAAATAAGAAATGAGAGAGAGAGAGAGAGAGAGAGAGAGAGAGAGAGAGAGAGAGAGGTAGACTTAGTAAATATAAAATAGAGAAAAGCTAAAGCAAAGCTGGCAATTTCGTTCCTTTTTAAACCTTCCCCACTCTCTACCCACTTCTTCCATAGAATGCTCATTAGCTCCATCATCTCCACTCTTCCATTCTCAAAAGAAGCAAAGCAGGAATTACAGGAGAGCGAGAATTCATTGAAGAAGACGAAGGAAGCTAGAGAGAGAAAGTTAGCATGAAAGGAAGAGCAGGAATTTCTGCTACCAATACAGGAGGAATTCCCACTGATCTTCTTGTCTGCTTCCCTTCGAGAGCCCACCTCACTCTAATGCCAAAGCCCATCTGCAGCCCATCAAGGCCCGCCCATCACACCAAGCGCTATCTAAGTCGGCCCATTCACCGCAGCCAGTCCAGCCCTCTATTCCGCTCAAAGACCGGCAAGTACTCCGGCGCTGGCGCCGCCGCAGAAGAAATCACCGACGAGCCAACCTCTCCAACGGTCACCTGCGCCGGCCAGATCAAAGTCCGTCCACGGTCCAGGCCCGGCCCGAAACCCTCCACCAGCTCCTCGAGAGACGGCAAAGGCTGGCTTTCAGTAATGGAAGAGGTGGAGAAACTCCAAAGGTGAGGCTGTAGATTAGCCGATCAAGCTTGTTAAATATTTAGCGAATAAAAATATGGCCTTTTGTCTGTATTCAATTTTTTCTTGACTAAATCGAATTTAACTGAACATTGATTATCAAACACCTCAATATTTTTTTTAAAATAATATTTTCAATTATAGATACAAATTTGTAATTTTTATGATATAATATTTCGTGCATGATAGTAATTCTACACAATCTAGCTCCGTGTGGCATGAATTATATTCAATTTTTTATGCCAATTCAACTATCAATACATTAAGATTATTTTGAAGTGGGGAAACATTTCTGTTGGAAGAAAATTGGATGAGGATATCTCATCAAAATTTAGTAGAAATAGATTTTTTTTTTTTGACACTGCGATCTACTGGCACAGCAAAAAGCCCCTCATGCAGTTCTTAGGCGCACTTCGCAGCCTTAAATTTGATCTCCATTGCTTCGGTTCTTTCCATGGCGCTGTTGATTGCTCTACAGACGAAGAAGAGGGAGCTGAAGCAGAGGAGGAAGTGGAGGAGGATAAAGATTTGGAAGGCAGTACCTCAAGAACTATATTCTCGAAGTGGTTCATGTTATTAGAGGAGAACCAGAACCATGAACTAAAGAAGGAGATGAAGAAGGAAGATGATAGAAAAGAGAGAGAAGAGGAAGAGCTCGAGCTCGCCCCACCTTCCAATGCTCTGTTACTGATGAGGTGCCGCTCTGCTCCAGCTGAAGGAAGAGCTGTTACAGGAAAAGCAGAAAAAGATTTGGTTTCTGAAACGCCTAAAGAGGATAATAAGGAGAAGAAAGAAAGGCTTTTGTTGATGAGTTATGATCCAGATTTCACCAAGTTGTCGACTGAGATCTCAAAGGAAACATGGATTGTAGGGAATTTTGATCCGTTGAACAGAAGCAGGAGTTGGAAGAGATGAAGAGTGGATTTACAGTAAGGTTTATTGGCTTCTTTTCTCTTCTTCTCTTTTGTTCTTCTGAAGGTTAATGAAGCATGCTTTGAGCTTATTCGGATATGTGTTCTATTATTAGATTTTTGTATGCAATTATTGATTGATAGAGACAAATAGAAGAGACCTATCTTGTATTTGTCTGTATCTTTTTACACAGTCAATAACACCTACTAAATACTATTTCGTGTATCAAGATCAAATTTTATTATTTATCGAGTATAAGATATTTTTATACAAAATATAAGATATTGTGAATAAAATATCTTCTATTTTGCTGAAAAAAATAAATTTGATCATGATATCTTGAAAGAACTGCTTCCTCTTCTTCCTTTTTTTTTTTTTCAGATTTTGAATTTTTATTTCTTCAATTTGTTTTGGATTTGGATTTGTTTTCCCTTTTCTTTTGGCAGGGAAGAAAGTGTGATTTGATTTGAGATTCTCTTCTGCTGTACAGCTTCTTCCTTTGTTGTTGCCTTCTATGAGAAGGATTTGACAAAATTATGGACAGAATCTTTGTTTCAATTATGTGATGAGAAATAACATAATAAAGCAATAAAATTTCTTTATAATTTTTATTTTTCCACAATAAAAATATGCTCTAAATAATTTTTTTATGTATTTTCTTTCCCTCATGTTGGATTAGTACTACTCTTCATGGTATACATGTGAGGCCTCTTCTTATCAAACATTCACGTGAGGGGGGCTCTGTTGCTTTTGAGAAAAGATGGAACATGAAAGGCTGTGGAGGACAATTTGTTTTTTATTATATGTTCAGAAACTCTTAGGCAAAATAAATAATGATCTTAGGAGTTAGGAGCCCTAAGTTACAGCAAGTTGCTTCGAATAAATCTGAGTTCAAAAGCAGTGCAGAGACTATTTGCATGTTTTAGGCTTCGTTTGGGAGAGCTTTATTGCTGCTTTGTAATACTATTCTTTGGTACAAAAATTATTTGAAAGCAGAGAAAAAATATTGATATAAAGCTATCCCAAACAAAACCTTAATCCCATCATTAATAGATAGTGCCTTCTCTTTCACATCAAAATCACCTGTGTTTTAAGGGAGATGATCATATTTTCTAATCTTTTCCAGACTGATTCACATTTGAATTTTTCAAACTCACTCAGCATTAGGAAAATCTCACTTAAGCTTCATTTGGGATGAATTTCTTTCTGCCTCTTAAAACAGCTTTTTAGTATAACATTTTTTATTTTTATATTAAAAAGCTGCTTTATGAAACAGTAAGAAAGCTGTCACAAACGAAGCATTAGTCACAGTGATAGATTTGACAAGTTTTTGCGCAAAAAATAGCTGAGCTTATAGCATTTTCATTTCTTAAACTGCACTGTATACATTCATCACTTCTAAAAGAACTTTCAGGACATGCTGCTAAAAAAAAAAATATTAATCAAGAACAAAATAATCATCAATTCAATATAAATCTTCTGGAATAAAAAATAAAAGAAGAAAAGTGCCGCCATTGATTCTTCTGCAACTTTTGTTAAAATCATTACTTGTCTACTGCCTTCATTTCATTCTTTCTTAAGTTTCTTTACCTTTGCCATCAATGCCTTGAGTCCTATCGAGCATTCAAGCAACTATAGGTGAAGGAAATGTATTCCTATTTACATTATTATGTAAGGTGATATATTTCTGTAGTAGTTTTCTGCTCCTGAAGAAATTTAGAGATAATAGCTGTTCACTGTTACTTTTTTCCTGGAAAGTATTTACCTCCTCTTTACAGCAATCATGCTTGGTAGATGCTTCAACAAGTTCATTTTGCTGAGGTAGAACAGCTCTCCGTTCTGTGAAGAAACAAATTCCAATGATCAAAACATTAGTTAATAATTCATCAAAATGCAAGCAATTTTAGATAAAAAATGCTTTTTTTATTGATTGTTCTAAAAATGTGATCTTTGTAAGTTGATCAGACTAGCAAGCTAAACTTACAGAAAAGTTGAACATTGATCATTTCACAAGATTCTTCATGAACAACAGCCCATTTATTAAGCAGATCATTCTATTTCCTTTTTGCAAAAGAACCATAGACAGTTCAACAAACTTACTGGCACCAAATTAAGGGTTAGTTTGGGACGACTTTCTTACTGCTTCTTAAATCAGCTTTCTAGTAAAAAAATTAATTTTTTAACTAAAAAGCTACTTTAAGAAACAGTAAGAAAGCCGTCCCAAACGAAGCCTAAGACTTATTTGAAGCAAACAAACAGGCTGTTGAGCATTTTTAAATCATTCACAGCGTATGAGAAAACATACTGTTTCATAAAGGTTTCTCCTTCCATACAACATGAAACTATGACTTTCTCTGAAGATGTGATTTAGCTTTTAAGAGAGCTTTTGCCACTTCCTCATCTGCTGGAAATTCCCTCGTCAAAATCTGATAATCTTGTGCTGATGCCTCCCACTTCTCAAGCTTTAATAAGCAAAACAAATAATTCAATAAATAAGCATTCTTTCTTGTATGAAATGCTAAGTAGTAAAGATCACTCACCTTAGCAAAGCAATCAGCTCTTCGAAGTCTAGCCTTAGCATAGGAAGATTTCAAATTAAGAACAGTATTGCAATCTTCAATTGCTTTCTCCCATTGTCCAAGTTTGGAATGACAGGCAGCTCGGTTGCAGAGTAGAATGGCATTCAAGGGATCATGATGAAGCCCTTCTCCATAAGCAGTGCATGCTTCTGAATACTTTGAAAACTTGAAGAACTCATTGCCTTTGTTTCGAGCTGATGCGATGGCTTTTACTCTCCTAACTACAGCACTGATTTCTCTGTTGTTCTGGTGTTTATCAGCCCTTTCCACTAATGCAACCGCTTCATTGAACCTATAAAAAACCATTTTACTGAGCCTTGAACTGGTTATCATTGAATGTTATTTAAGAACTGACCTTCCTGAAGCTAAATCAACCTCTGCTTGGATCATGAGGATGTATCCATTCACTGCTGAACCAAAGAAATTGATGATTGTATCAGTGTCAAACTTGGGTGCATTCTTAAGAACTGAGTCAGCCTCTTCATGCCTGCCAAGTCTTAGAAGCGCTTCTTCTTGTAATTGGGGAGAACGCCAGAATTCTGCCCAATTTTCATGGGATGCTGAAATTCTTCCCAATTTACAAGAGAATTCCCTCCTGACGCTGAAACTCCGCCCAAGTGAAGCCGGAGTTCTCCTCTGCCATCTAAAGACGTCGGATTTCTACCCGACGTCGGACCTTCACTCTTCGCCAAGTTTCTACCCGACGCTGGACTTCTACCAGTTATCGGACTTCGCTGGACGTCTATACGAAGATGCATTTCTTTCCATTGCTGGACTTCTACCTGATGCTGTCCTACTGATCTTTGTCGTTGGACTACAGTCCTTCCGACCTCCGTCGCTAGCCGACTACGGTTCTCCTGACTTACGTCGCCCGCCGACTACAGTCTTTCTGACATCCGTCGCCCGTTGAATACGGTCCTTCTGACTTATGTCGCCCTCCGACTACAGTCTTTCCGACCTCTGTCGCCCACCAACTACAGTCCTCCTTACTTACGTCGCCCGCCGACTACAATCCTCCGTCACCAGCTGACTACGGTCCTCCTGACCTACATTGCCCGCCGACTGCAGTCCTTCTAACAAAGCGAACATGTCAATAGTGATTCTTTGTATTTACATCATGTAATGTACTCCATAAGATGTACATCAAGCTAAGGCCTTCTCCCAAGGAAGGGCCTCATTTGTAATCGACTGCAAATACTAGTGGATTCGTTCAAACTGGATTAGGCCCCCATGGTTTTTCCCCCTTTTTACAGGGGTTTTCCACGTAAAAATCTTGGTGTCTCATAAATGCTAGACCCTCTCTCCTTATCTGATTGCGTGCCGGATTTTCGTACAATGCTAAGACGTTAAATATGATATTTCTCTACCGCCGCGAATACTCCTGGACGCAACAATAATATTTATTACATACTGAAGAAAAGACATTAAATTCTGTCAATTCAAAATTTAGTTATATCTTTGGACTGGAGCTTCGACATCGGGAAATAGAGGAACAACTGATATATCATCATAAATTTATCTTGATCGTGCATGAATCTCGAGACAAATTTGAGTTGAAAGCTTCATAAATTAAATTTGGGATCATCTGAACTTTGATTTTAACAAACTTATAGTTCAACTGAACATCTCGTAAAGACGAACCCAACAACACCAAATTCAACTCAATCCGAGCACAAGTGGAGCAAAATCGAAGACTTGAAGCACATTTGAAATGTTCAGATCATAAATTGGATGATTAAAGGATTTTCAAATGTGACATGCTTATAGCATAATCGAGCGGCTCGATGAAACAAATCCAAAGAGCCCAAGATTGTTGAATTATTATATCATTAAGACGTTCAAATGCTTAATAAAAGGCCTATTATTAAGGGAATCTAGATCGGCTGCCCATTCAAAACACGCCCAACATGCCTTTGATATATTCTCTATTTACTGGCCATGCCACTTCCTTTTTTTTTCAAAACAGAAATTATATTAAAATAAAAAAGAGTTACAAGAGGCCAAGAAACAAAATAAAAAACAGTAAAAGAAAATACAAAAAGACACAATTAGTAGGCTCAGTAATTGCCGAGGCTTCCAGCTCCCCCGAAGCCACGCACAGACCCTCCAATTTCGTGAAGAACGCCACGAAGAAATCAATCCAACCGACCAGCCAAGGCACCAAAAGATCAGCACCAAAGGTTGCCATGGCTGGTTGCCATGAGCCATGACAACAAAGAAGTGAGCCCCAGCCACATCATAGCCTAGCACATCCACGATCAACAAAAAACAAAAATATGGGGCCAAACAAACTAACGACCCTGTCTGCCCCTCCCACGGGACCTGCCACGATAACCGGCAAAGACCGGTCGGTCACGAACCATTTTAAAATCATGTCCAGGATCAGAACCTCCACAATGCTTCGAGGAAGAATCAGACTTAGCTTCCGACGAACAGTGAAGCCAATCAAGATGAACCCGCACATCCATCACAGAATTATCACCCACATGATAAACCATAGCATTGGGTTCGATTAATTTCACAGAAACATCCACAAAAGAGTTAGGAATAACCAACCCATCACCCGAATTACATCACTTCTAACAACATCACCACCAACAAAAGCCTCACAAAACACCACCTCAACATCAGGTAAAGGAGAACCAACAAAGTTCAAACCGCAAGGAATACCACTTTTCATTACAACAGATACAGGATCCCCTCCCCCACATCCATAGAAGCAAGGACATGACCGGAGGGGACATCAACAATAACCAAATTAACATCAACCACATAATTAACAATCGCAGAAGCAGGTAAGACCACATCAGAAATGAACCCGTTCTCCACACCAACATTATCATGAGAACTAACAGACAAATCAGACTTAGCCCCAAAAACAAAAACACCACAGGCTAAACCAGAGTCGAAAGCGACATTGTTGACCCCCAAACTATCATCAACACCCCTAACTACAAAATCAGTATTACTAGAATTAATAGCAAAAACAGACGCCACCTGACCATCCGGAGAAACACAAACAGGATTATCACACCCAGCGACAGTGACAGCGTCATCACAGATCGGAGGACAAGAGGGGTCGATTAAAGCTAGAGGAACAGAGCTCACTATGGGATCAGATACATAAGCCACCGGCGGGGGAACCGAATCCACAGCCGGCTGCAAATGAGGGAATAACTTAATACATTCCGACTTCTTATGACCCACAACTTTACAATGCAGACAGAAATTAGGCATTCCTTCAAAAATAACTCTCTGAATATACCCAAGTTTATCCGGACCCAGCCAAACAGAATTGGGAAAGTTTTGGAAATGTCAATTTCTACAAGAATACGAGCGAGTGAAGGACGCGAACCAACAGCCGTGGCATTATCAGTGTGAATCAGACTACCAAAAAGGGAACCCAAACCAAAAGGAATTCGAGGAGAGAACAGGTGAGGACGAAGCCCCGGAAATGAAATCCAGACATGGACAATCGGCAACTCCTCCGAAAGGTCAAGGAGAGGCGACCACTCTATCACTTTCATGAAACAACCAAAAACGAAATAGGATCGATGCGCAAAAACCCTCCCATAGTCGAGGTCATTCGAAAGCTTGATCAAGACATTAGACTGATCCAAAATAGTAACAGAGAACTCACCTGATAATTTTAGGTTGAAAAAAAACCTACGTATCGAATCCAAAGCTGGCTGCTTAAGCGGAAATTTCCCCACTATAGCAAACTCAAAAGGTTTCGCAAGATGCAGAAATTCATCCTTCGAAATCCACAAAGCCGGCATACCCCGAATCGTAGACACACGAAAATCTGGAAAAACCTTAGAGACATCAGAACCAAACAACACCTCTTTGAAGGATTTGTAATGCTTACCCTCAAGAAAGCCAGCGTTTAACCTTTTATTCACCATAAGAAAAGGGCCGAGAGAGATGGAGACGGAGACAGAGACGGAGGCGGCTAGGGCAAAAGCCCTAGCAGAGCGGTAAAAAACCCTAGCAGACGACTCATCGCAATTTTTTTACTTGACACAATTTTTTATTGAATTGCCACGCCACTTCCTTAACACTATAAATAAACCTCTCATTCTTCATTGAGGGAGGACCTACTACCTAGCAAAGAAGAGAAGGGAGGAAGAGAAATCTGAGTTATCTTGCAACTAGACTCCTCTTCAACTATTGCTCGACAACCAATCGTTGCTAAATTTCTACCTGACCATTGATCGTCGCTGGACTTCTACTCGACCACTGACTTTCGCCGCCGGACTTCAGCCTGGCCACCGATTGAAACCAGACTTTCACCCGACCACTAGTTGATGTCGGATTTACGTCCAGCCAATGACCGTCACTATACATCCATACGATCTATATTTGTCACTAGATTTCAACCTTATTGTTGAATATTGTAATCTGAACATCCACAAATTCATGGACGAATCAATCATTTGCAATTTATTCAAAAACTAATGGATTCATTTCAACTAGGCATGACCTCATGGTTTTTCTTTTTAGGGTTTTCCAGCCAGATCTTTTTTTTTAATTAGTGGGAAAAAAATTCCAGCCAAACAGATTTGATAATGGTAAGGCATAACGCGTCTGCAGACGAAGTCAATTTTGACTTTTTTCATTAAAAATAAATAAACAAAAAAAATTTAATAATTTATTTAGGTTGGCCAGCTTTTATTTTCTCTCTTTTAAGCCATCCGCGTCTCCCATTTTTTGTGCAAGCTCATCAGGAAAACCTTTTTTTAGTAGAAAAATATTTATTTTTGCAATATTCTTTATTCAAGTAGGCCTGACATCTACTTGAAGATTGTTTTTTTTTTTTTTTGGGAAAATTATGATAATCACTCTGTATAAAGGGGATAATTAAAAAATGATAAAAAAAAGAAAAGATAAAAATGATTAAATTTAAAATAAAAAGAAAAAAATTAATAAATATTTTATAATCACTCTTTATAATATACGAGAACTCAATCAAAAAGAAAAAAATTATGAGAGACAAAAAATGTATCTATCATATAATGATTTGATTATCAAATAAATAATTATATATGATATGATCCGTTACATTCGTCTTGTCAATGGGTGATTATTCTATCCTTTTTATATAAAAAAAATTGATTTTATTTTGATTTCAATAACACATTACAATGCTCCCATACACTTACCAACCAATGCAAAGTACAAGACAACAACATCTCCATAATCAGGCGCTTACTGCAAGCGGTTTCTAAAAAAAAAAATAACTCGAATGAAATTTACAAGTATATCTTCATCGAGTATATTAATTTTTTATAATACAAATAAAAAATATAACGATTAATTGAATCTGAATATAAAAATCAACTGAATCAATGTTTAAAGTTGAGGCCCCCTTTAAAAATTTCTGACTTCACTGCTCATTTCAAGTCAAATTGTCGATAAATAATAACATGTAAATAATGATAAATGAACTTCAATGCACATTGGTATGCATGCATAAAATTCTTCATGCCAAATCTTAATATTGACTATTAAATGCTAATAACATGATTATGTTGCGCACACTCAACTTTCAATCTATTACTCAACAACATAATAATAGATCTATCATTCAGTGTATAATATAGCTTCACCTTGCTTATGGATTACATATTTATGTTAAGTTCTTCAAACATTATTCTTTATTGAGTAGCTAGTTAATCTAATAAGCTATAAAATGATATGACATCCAATTCTTATGTTGTCTATTAAAAAAATAAAATTATTAGTAGAAATCATTTCTTCAAGAATATGGAGTCGAGCAAGGGCATCTTCGTGTGTACTGTTATGACCCGCAAACTTACCTCGATTGCGCAAGTATATAATGTCGATGGCATCATCATTCTCATTGCCACTTGAATGTTTCATAATCTCCTTCAACACTATCAAAATCAACCACTAATGTTAATCGGAAACGAAGGTCTGAAGGATCGTAATCAGCGGCCGATAGTGGTCAGAAAGTAAGAACTTATCTTGTTACCTGTGAATGGAATAGGTACAGTATTTATAAACATAAAGAAGCAGAATAGCAACTAACGGCTATATGACGTGGCTTTCGGTTATACAAGAAATGACTTTCTTGTATATCTTACATGCCCCCTCAAACTAATGGTTGAGGCTCAGCGATTAGTTTGTTACATAAAAACTTAAAACGCCTAATTGGAAGCGGCTTGGTGAAGACGTCCGCAATTTGATCGTTGGTGCTTATGTGATGTACTGAGATATGGTTGGAGCGGATGCAGTCCCGTATGAAATGGCAATCGACATCGATATGTTTAGTTCTGGCGTGGTAGACGGGATTGTTGGCAAGTGCAATGGCGGACGTGTTGTCGCAATAGATGGTTGTAGGATTTAGTTGCGGCAGGTGGAAATCTTCAAGGAGACGGCGAATCCAGATTACTTCGGCGGCTTCGGATGCTAGTGCACGGTATTCGGCTTCGGTGGACGAGCGGGCCACGGTTGATTGTTTTTTAGCTTGCCATGAAATGAGAGATTTACCCAGAAAATTGCAATACCCGGAAACAGATTTCCGATCATGAGGACTGTTGGCCCAGTCGGCATCCGCATATCCGTGTAATGTTAAGTTATCTTTATATAGAGGTATGCCGATAGATGTTGATCCTTGTAAATATCGAAGCAGCCTTTTTAGATCATCGAAGTGGCTGTTGAGAGGAGCATGCATGTATTGACTTAATTTGTGTACAGCAAATTGGATGTCAGGACGTGTGAGGGTGAGGTATTGGAGTGAGCCAATGAGTTGACGATAGAGATGTGGATTCGGGAACTCGGGACTACAGTCAGGGGAATTTCCGGTGCTGCAGGTTAATGGAGTGGCCACTGGTTTGGAGTTGTGCATGCCGGCTTTCTCCAAGATTCGTGTAGCATATTGTTGTTGATGTAGAAGCACACCGTATGAAGTTTTGGATGTTTGGATGCCGAGAAAGTTAGCCAGGGATCCCAAGTTCCGCATTTGGAATTGTTCGTGGAGGCTTGTGAGGAGTCGATTGATCTCCAGTTTGGAGTTGCCGGTGAGCAGTATATCGTCAACATAGATAAGAATGTATAGTTGGTTTGATCCCGATTTATATGTAAAAAGAGAGGGGTCAGCATTACTGATCTTGAAACCGAAATTTAGAAGATGATGAGATAAAGTTGCGTACCATTCGCGTGGTGATTGTTTGAGTCCGTATAATGCCTTGTTTAGTTTGCACACGAATGTTGGGTGGACGACGTCTTGGAATCCAGGCGGTTGTTGCATGAAGACCGTCTCGGAGAGTTTGCCGTGCAGGAATGCATTTGAGACGTCGAGTTGATGAATATCCCAGTTGAAATGAAGTGCAATGAGAATGAGAACACGAACGGTAGGGATCTTGGCTACAGGGCTGAAGGTTTCCGTGTAATCGAGGCCGTGCTCTTGGTTAAAGCCCTTGGCGACAAGCCGAGCTTTATATCTTGCAATCGTGCCGTCTGAGTTTAGTTTTGT